GACCGGAACAAAACTCTGTAATCAATATAGGCATGTTTTCTCGTTTGAAGATAGGGAATTTTATTTTTTATTTTTGTTTTTCCCGCGAGGGGGCTTGTTTATTGGGCACCCCCTTGCATCCTGTGCAAGGTAAAGCGCAAAAGCGTTTACAGCGTGACCGAACATAGGTTCAAGCCTGTGTCAGGTCAAAGTCACAGATCAAGGTCAAAATGTCAGTTATGACAACGGGAATATGGCGTTCCATGGCACTCGTATAAGACTTGGCCATCATGCTGACAGTGAGGGTAGATGGGTGTTGCAAATACAGCTCTTTAGTTCCCCCTGATGTTTTCTACCATAACGCCTTCCATTAATAGAAAGGCATAGACAGTTATCTTATTTATTTTTACATGCCTGTATCTTGTAGTAGACGTTACGTATTAATTCATTTGGAATTCTACTTAGAAATTGATCAATGTATCGATAGGAATTGAGGGCAGCGGGTGGTGGTAAAAACCTCGGAGGTCGGATGGGTATGGGAGGGTTGAGGGGAGAGAGCTATAAGCGTATATGGGTGAGTGGGGATGAGTAGGCGAGGGAAAGGAGGGGGCGAAGGAAGGGGTGGGGGAGGTAGGAACGGCAAGGGGCGTAGAAGGGTGGAGACGCCACGGAGCACGGACTGTTGCCAAATACTGTAGTAGCTTTAGTCATGTGCCTCGCTCAGGGGAGGGGAGGGGGTGAAGGGAGAAGCAGGTTATATACACCAGCAGGCCGCTAGGAGGACGCAGGTTATCTTCACTGCTTCTACATCTGTTAAAAAAAAGCTTTATAATGCTTTTCATGAAGGTCCTCCTCATGGGTCTTGTACCGGGGTGTCAACTGGCCTGGAAAACTTGGAAAAGTCGGGGAATTTTACAAATAAACCTGGAATTTTATGTGAATTCAGTTTAACTTCAAAAATATTGTTATTTTGACAGCAATCTTACCATAAAGTAATGATGTATTGTATAATTGGTAAATAATTCAACTTTTAGGAACAAATTACAGTAAATAGTCCACTCTAATAACTGAATTGTCTGTGTACCTGTCATATTTCAGCATTTCATGTTAGTGATCAAATAACCAAATATTACAAGTTATACCTACTAATTCTGCAATGAGTATTGTTAAAGATGAATTGTTCTTATAATTAAGTTCCTTTATTCAAGTGGATTATTCTACATTAATTGAGAGTCAAACGTGGATTAGGAGTGTGATTTTTCGGTCTTTGCCGGATTTCCGTGTTTTTTTTTTTTTTTTGAGAACGTCCAGGTCGACCCACATGAATCGCACAAATCCAAGGAGAAAAATTTGGAGGTGGATGTGTCAAGGTCTTTGCCAATGTTCATCACTAGGCTTGGGGTGGGTCACGAAAGGGTCTTCATTTTTCTTGATTAATATCATTTATATCATCTTAAAATTTCCCAGTAGTATATACATGCTATTGAAAACCTCTAATTTTGTTATTCTGTCTTAATAAATAACAAATTAATGTACCTGGAATTTTTCAAATTTACTCCTGGAAAAGCCAGGTAATTTTTTTGTCTGGCCAGTAGACACCCTGTGTACGAACCTTGAGTAAGACTGTCTTTATGGTTATTAATTTCCACACTAACGGAGTATGATACTCAAATAAACCAGTTCTGTATTCTGCTGCTAAAGTTTCTAGTGAATCATAAAATCACAATAATGAATGACTTTCACTTGAACTAGAAATTATAATGTGTTTAATGTTTATTGCGGGGATCCATGGTGGATAGGTGTACGCCGCTGTTGTAAATTTTAGTCTGTAAATTTTAGTCGGTCATTTGTCAGTCCCATCAACACATCCGTGTGATACAAACTGTTCACCAGATCCCTGTGAACGTTGGGGAGTACACCCTTTTAATTGGGTGTAATCCTTGTAAAGTCACTCATCTGTCAGCCACAATGCCAACACGACCTTGGAGAGGCTGGACAGTACTACCTCTTAATATTTTATGGATCTGCCCCTGTCTTGTCTGGAACAAAACTTGTATCGATGTAGATACTACTTGGGTGAAACTGCACAAGAATGTATATCAACACTAGACGATGTGCACAACACCCAGATACAAGAATTCAAGTCTTGAAGCTGTAATGTCACCGTTCAGGGTCAAGTGTCAATTTTGGCAATGGGCGTCTGTATTGTCTGGCGGCAGGCCTACTAATGTTAAAGCTCAATTTCTTCTACCGGCTGCTGAATCACTCTGCTCGGCTTTATTGTAGCTACTGCCATAAAAACAAACTCAGAATGTAGTGCTGGTCATATATGGAGGCCAGACGAATGATGTTCAGTAAGGTCGTTGCTGTGGACTTGTCTGATGATATATTTATGTGACAAAACTTCCTCAACTTGAAAAATGGCTGTTGCTGCTGCCGCTAAATTCACAGCTTTCGTTTGGTTTGTATATAAGTCATATAATTGAACAAATTTAAGTAATAAAAACCATTTTAAACCTTGTTACGTTAATACATATTAAGAAAAACGTCAGTATGAAGCTATAAATAGCGTGTGTCGGATCAAAGAGGTCAAGTTTCACTGATAAAACTTAGAAATCTAGGTCATGAGTGTTACTCCAACAAATGTGATGGCGTAAGGGCAAGATCATGAGTATTTTCCGCTAAGCTTGTAACTTTAGCTGGGAATTGCCGCTTTAATTGAGGGGTAAAATTGTATGTTTACCAAAACAAAATACATAAGCATTTACGAAAAAATTATATTCCATAATTTGTGACTTTCGACTACGCATTTCTGTTAAAATGGTTAAAACAACAGAATAATTAAAATCATTAAAGTGGTCTGTGGATGTAGAATTTCTAAGACTGAATGTAATGTATTTGCAACTCAGTAGGTCACTTCATCGTCCACAGGTGGCAGCACTTACAGTGGGGAACACTCAGTCGGCTAATATTTGTTTGGTTATACTGTGCAGGTTGCCATCTGACATACACTTACAGCATATTCTACATACGTATATACACACACATGGAACCATTATAACACTGATCATATATATAATTGCAGTTAACCTTCGGGTATTTGTAGATATATAATTGGTTATAAATAACTAATATAACTAATATTTTGATATACACGAGTAGGTTCCCCTCTCCCTTGCCAGTTCAGGCCAGTGTTTATCCCTCACGTCACTGTCACGGGATCATTCTCGCCTGTTCTGCAACGATAAGATCATTCTTTCGCTTTGGTTCTAATAAGAAGGTTGTTATAAGCATCTAATGATCATCTGACAGTTTAGTGCGTTTATAATGTGAGTACATTAATAACAGTATTGTGTTGTCATGGCAGTCTCAGTGGTTGTTGAATGAGATCATAATCTCCCCCCAGAGGTGGATCTACTTCTAATCGTAATGGCGGTGGCAATAACTATGTACAGTATCTCATTTTCAGCACTTCATAGCTTTGTTGGTAGGATTAACAATAATGGTGATTCCCTTTATAACTGGAAGTGAACGTTATAACCCTTTGTAACGTTTTTTTTTCTTGTCATAAATCAGCACAAGAGAAGGATGGTGTAATGGTAAGATTATGAAAGTCATACGTTCAATGTTAGAAAACGGAATGTTACAGTTCACTGCTATAAGGGGTAAGGCTTATCGTTTGTCATAATTTTGATCTCACCGATTTTGTTCAAAATCTGAAGATATGTACCCTGTACTGATTAAGGATCTGTTGTCTACAAATTCCATCTAAAAATATATAATTATTTTTTTAATCCTGATTACTAACTGCCTACTGTTTTTCAAATACTGTAGGTCATCGTGGTGCACAATTTGGCTAAAATTTCCTAGTGTTAATAGAAAACTGATTTTTTTTTTAATCTGAGATTTAGAAGCCCTGCACAAACCTCTATCTGATGATTTGAAGTTGTGAAAACTACTTTGCATATCATGCAGTCCATATTTGGCAGCTTGGTTATTGTAGATACAGTAGGTCCCCAGGTTAGGTACCTTCGACTTACGAACATCCACCGATACGAAGGAGGTTCCATAAAGTTAAACTTTATTATTATTATTGTTGTTTTTGTTTTGTTTTTGGGAGGGAAGCTGTGGGGGGGATTAACCCACCCAAGTACATTAGACAACACCTTATGCTTCAATACCTCCCTGTTTGATAGCTGCCTACTCTACCGTTACCTGATGACTCATTTTTTACTTTCGTTTACTGAATTTTGTCATTCTATTTCTCCTTTTCTCTTAAATTAAGTGATTTTAGATCTATATAATGGCTTAGGCTATGATATACTGTAATGGGATTTTAAACATTGTTCTCTAAGTACAGTATGCACATAGGGTATATGTTTCGACTTCTGTACATTTTTTACTAAAGAACGTCTGTAGCAACGAAACTCATACGTAACCGAGGGACTGCCTGTACCCGTAAAGATATTTGTTGAATTTAAGACGTTAAATATGATTGCATATACTGTATAATGAGATGAAATGATAGCTATGACAAACATTGGGTGATTTTTCATACCTATGTAAACTATGGTGTCGTACATAACATCACAATCTATTTAATTTCAATGCACTATGCAATTCCAAGCATACATTACCAACAGTTTCCTTTTTGTGAGGCTTTCCAGTGACTTCAGTAAGGGTTCATTCACTTGAATCACTGTTTTATTGATGTTAAAAGTTTTGAAACAACTTGAGAGTAATTATTTTGTTTATGATTTTATTATTTTAGGTTTTTTAAATTGATAACAGTATGAATATGAACTGTCTGGCATGGTATTCACTTAATGTAAATCAACCCAGAATATACATGGCAGGTTAATTTTAAATTCTGTACTGTTTACTTGACAGTCATTAGTGTAATACCCTGCATGTACAATATACTGTAGTATGGTACTGTATATATACTATTTCTGTATATGATTTTGTAATACTTAAATAATTTCTAGCACTTCATGTGACTCAACATATTGTTATTACAGTGCTGTATGGGTACCCGGTGGTAGTGGCCAACCAACAACAACAACAGCCACCACCACCACTGCCACAACATTGCTATGGTAAACGGAAAAAGAAAAAATACCAGCGTAGACGCCATGCAGATGTCCCAGCTGCAGTAAGTATCTCAATTTGCTCGGTTAAAACATTCATAAAACTTTTAATTTCAGTTTAATGTGCAGTCACTCCAATATTGTTATACTTATACAAAATTTTTGAAGTGCTGTAAGCAGTTCTACGCTTTGCCCAGAAGCATACGGGGAAGAGGGTGCATATTTAATAGTACTGTACAGTATATATGGGCACATTATGCCACCAATGCATATAAATCATATAAATTAGAAAGGTAGCTAGTTCTTCAACGTGCTGACCACACCTATTACAAGCCTTCACTGACTCAAGGTCACTCCACCTCACAACCTGCCTTGCCTCCCTAAGCCATTCCTGTATCTTAAAAGCCTTCTCTACATCTTAAAATTATTTTAAAATCACAAGATATTGACATATTTCATTAGTCCCCCCTCTCCAAAGCCCCCTGAATCTCTCAATAACTTCCTTCATTGGAGAATACTCCTAGGCTTTCACATATTATGCTTGCCACTCACAGACCTCATCCTAAGTTCTTCCTGCCTTTCATTAGCTGTCTTCTACTTTTTACAAACTCTACCTTTCATAAAGCTTCCCTGATTTCACAAGTCTTCCCAGCCTCTCAAACTTTGCCTGCCTTTCACAAGTACGGTACATGTATTCCCTCCCTGCCCCACATGAACACTTCATGCCTTTCAAAAACCCTCTTTACCTTGCACAAGTTTTTCATACCTTATATAAAATATCCTTGATTCTCAAAACCCCTTCTTCCCTTTCTTAAGTGCCCCCTTCCTTGAAGTTGATAATTATATCCTTCATGAATTAGTAGAGAACTACAGCTTTCCAAAGGATTGTTTTTATATTATATTTGTTTCATTATACCACCCATTGACTGGTAGGAGTTTATCTCAGCTTAATAAAGTCCAAATATCAAAATGTGACTACTCCTTAAAGGGTTAAGAGATATTCAATAATTATATTTTTTGTTATAATCTCTGAACTTGAAGCCCAGTATATAATGTAAGGTTTAGGGTACATTTACAAATTAAGTGCAGCAAAAAAAAAGATATGTACAACAAAATAAGTTATAGTACTTATTCCAAATCCCCAGTGTTTTAAAGATGGAAATTTCTGTATTAACTACTGTGTAATTACAGTTATATTACCATATGTTTTGCTACATAACCTTCATCTTTTTACAGGGAGGTTACCTGGATCCACAGTTGTATACTGGTGAACCATTTGTAGCAACACCTGGTGGTTATGTGGTACCAATAGAGGCAGCAGCATCTGTCTGTCAAGTTCATGGCCTTCAGTACGTAACTTCCCCTGCCTTCCACCAGCACCCATCTGACGAAGGTTTTGTATCTGTCCAACACTCTCCTTACCTCCCAGAAGTAGCCACTGAGCCACCTTCTGCAGAAGTACAGCAGCCTGAAGGGACCAGCCAGGACGAGGCATCCAAAACAGTCTTTAGTGATCTCCAGGATACAGAGCGACGACAGATACAAGAAATATTACAGGAACGTGCAAAGGTTGGTAAGTCAGATTCCACAGAGTCTTCAGATTCGGGTGTATCAGAATCTGAGGAAACTGCTGCAGCTGAGCTCTCTTGTGATGAATTGGAGACTCTTAAGCAGCAGACCTCCCAGGCATCAGCATCAAGTGTGTCAGAAGAGTATACAACAGATGTAAATTCCTCCACTACACTGCCATGTCAAGAAGGAATTTCATCAAGCAATTTGGAAAGGGTAGTGCCAGAAGTAGTATCTCAAAAAGATGGTACTGAGAAAAGTATTCCTGAGTCAGATATCACACAGACTCAAGAAGATAGTACGGGTGAATTGAACAATGCTCAACATCACATTACTGATGGCATTTCATCAGTAACTGTAGAAACCAATGATAATCACACTGAATTATCAGATATTAATACACAAGAATTAACTTGCACAGAAACTCTGCACACAAGTCACTTAGATGGCTGCATCTCAAGTCAAAGTCCAGTGAGCAGCACTGAAGTTAGAAGCATTCAGAGAAACTTTCAGGGAACAGACGAAGTAAACCTTGCTGAGAGTTATAATCATGGACCAGAAGTAGAAACAGTCAGCCTTGAATTTCAAGTGAGAGATAAATTTGAAACTCCTGATGAGGTAACCAATGAAAAAGTACTTCAAGACAAAGTTACTGAGAATGAAATAATTTATTTTGATGCCAGTTTAGCTACTGCAAATACAGAGTGTGAGAGTGTAGATGAGTCTGCTATTGACAAGACTGCTAACAACTTCAAGGAATTGCCAGAGGGGGTTCAAGAATTTGAAATAAACCATTCAGAAAATTCTTTGGTGCTTAAAGCTGATGATTTAATAGATAAAGTGGTAGAGGAAAATAGCTTGGCAGCAACCACATTGCAAGAAAAATCTGAAATTTACAACAAAGTAAAAACAGTTGAACTGTTGACAGAATTTATCAGTCCTCTTACATTAAGTAAGGAAGAAGCACTATCCAGTAGTAAAGTAATTAATCTTGATGCAAAAAATTCTCATGAGATAGTAGAACATGAAGAGAACTCCATTGTTACAGAGAGTGAGAATGGTGTTACAGTTAACCAGAGGTCAAAATGTAATTTAAAGGATGGAGATAATGATGAAAATGGTATAGATCGAGCAAGCTTTAAGGACTTGAAAGTCACAGAAGCTGTCAAGAGGTGGATTAGAGAGGTAACTCCAGAAAAAGCATTTTCACTGACTGAGGAAGTTCAAACTCGTTTGTTATCAGACCAGGTCCTTTTTGAGGAAATGGACACTGAGGATGAATATATTGAAGATGAGATCTCGGAAGATGCAAAATCCATTACTGTCATGGAGCCAAAAAACGTGAAAGGCAACCCTTTCGTTGCAGCATCCAGTGATGTCCCTAACGTGGGGATGGAAAGCTGCGGCAAAAGGGTTGCTGTAATGAATAGGTTAAGAGAAACCACTCCAGACACGTTGGATGAATATGATGGTGCTAGCACAATAAGCAACCTCAGCTATGATCACCTGTATTCAGAGGCATCATCAAGCCATCCTGCCTCAATCAACCATAGCTTTGATGATGAGGAAATGGATAAATATTCAGAAAATCCAGATATTTATAATCCCACTTCTTATACCAAATACTATCAGCTGGGTGTAGAACTGGATGAAACAACACCTGTTCCAACACCACCACCAATGAATGAACAAAGGTCACGTGAGGCCACACCTACAGCCCAAGACAAGTCAGAGACTGTTAGTGAGTGTGGATCTGAAGATGTTGAAACTATTCCACATAAATATGAGGTAACTAATCAGCAGCACACAGGTACTTCACCCATGTCTTTGGCCACGGAGATACTTAAAGCAGAAAAAGTATTTAACAACATGGCACACATTGCAGGTGCCCAGCAAGATCTGGCAATGGCTGAAGAATGCTTTGGCAACCCAGATATTTATCTGAAGCATTATGGGGCTGCATCACATGGTGAAGTGGGTGACAGTGGGGTACAATCAGAGGAGAGCAGCGATGAAACAGAGGCTCGCAGTAATGTAAGTAGCAGTGGTATTGGGTCATCTTTGGCCTCTACACCTGCAATTTCTCCAGCACACTTCCTGTCTGGAAGGCCTCCTCTTCAGCCACACCCATTGAAAAATTTATCTGCAAGAGAAGGTCCAGTGCCATGCAGGACAGTGTGCTGTGCTGTCATGTGAGCAATCTTCACTACATAATGTAGGTTTTGCTCCATCTTGTTAACCCTGTGGCGTGGAAGGCAGGCAAAGGGGGCATCTCCCCCTGCTCCCGCCCGCTCGTGCCTTACAGGGAGAGACTTCTGGGCGGGGAACTGTCCAGACACCAAGGGTACAACGCTTAAACTGCTGTGAACTGTGATCCTTTGGGTCACATGCTCACCTGTTATTTGTAGGAGCACATGGCTGAAAAAATCAGTTTGTGCAAATGTGTGTATGTTGGATGCAATATGAGTAGTGAGTCAGTGCAAGGTTGCTGTAGGATAGTGTCCTTAAGTCACGCAAGAACCGTGCTTTTGGTGCTGTGGTCATTTAGGCCAAAAAGCCGCATGGCCTCACTTGGATTGCACTGCACTTTGAGTCTGCAGGCCTGCAAGGGTAGCTGCCCACACTGCCAGAACCATGTACACTTGAAACAGGTGTAGAAAAAAATGCTGCCAGATGGTGGGTGGCCTCCCTCTCAGGTTTGTGGGTGTGAGCTCGACAAAGTCACATCACCCAGAATCGCTTCATTCTCATGCAATGTCATTGTGATAGGCATAGTGAACCCTATAGATAGCTGTTATTTATTTTTAGACATGTGATGTTTTAGTCGTTATTGTAGAGATGTTATACCCCTGTGCATTTACATGTCATTCGGGTAGTGTTGATGGTAGGTAGCGTTTTTGGCTGCTGAGATAAACGTAGGTGTAGGTAGGCCCGGTGCCTCAAGGTGTGTGGGATTGGAAAACACAGGACTGTAATTTGTAATTAAATTAGTAAATTTCATGGATGATATATCTGGTATTGCCCCATAAATTTTATTGACATCTTTTACCCCTAATATAAATTATATACAGTCTGTCAAATTATAAAATTGAAGGTTTGCTGAACATTAAAATGATAAAACAGTGTTTCCAAAGCCAAACCACCTAGCATCCTACTATTTTGTTGATACAGCTGTATGTTGAGACAGCAGCTCTCCACATCACTCTAGATGCCTCCTTTGTTGCAACTGTTGGATGTCGACAGGGACCCATTGCTGTTTAAGTTAATTTGCTTAGCACACAGCAATAGTTTGACTATGCATGTCATTTCATCTACAGTGGTTATGATTTAAAGAGTAATGCTTCAACTAATGTTCTCCCATGACGTAGTGAAGAATATGCTTGATTGTTAAACAATGAATCGTGAGAAATGGGTGTTCTTGTACGACACTGTGAGTTTGAGTTGTTGTTTGTTATAGCTTATATACAATGGAACTGAAGTTGACCTATTTTTGCTGATGCCTGTTTCCAGGTTTTTACCTCTTGTTGTAACGTAAATGAATTGCTGACCAAATGCACTCTCTTTTGCATATCTTCAGCCTTTGTAAGCAATGGACATTGGTCCTGATGCCTCTGTGACTTAAAAATACTGTGGCAGCTTAACTGAAGTACCTTGGCTGTGTTAAAAATGTTATTTCGTATTACAGATCATGATTTCCTTTATTTTTCACAGAAATAAACCGGAGACCAACAATGTCGTTTGTCAATTTCCACTGATGCCATATTACTTATATTCCATAGACATGACTGGCTGCATCCTCTATGGTTATATGCCAAGGCTGTTGGATTGTTGTTTTCTTTTTGTAAATATAGAATCAATAAAATTTGTTGTATTTAAATAATATTCAATTATCCTTAAAAACAAAATCCAAATTATATCCAACTGGTAATGAATACAACTCTTGCAAAATAAATTTAGTTCATACCTGATTAAAGATCTGATAGAAAAAAAATATTAATTTTGGTATCTGATGATAAAGGAGCTTACTTGTTGACCAAAAGATCAAGCAATACAGTACAGTACAGTGTCCATAAAGTCCCGTTCTGATTTCAAACATTTATGTTCAAACGGCATAAAATGGTGAAATGCAGTTGTTTGCATTTGAAAGAGTAACTACAGTTGGGTCTTCATTTACGCGGTCAATTGAACCCTCATTGTACCGCGTAAAATGAGACACACGTAAATGAAATAACAGAACATATGAGATTATATTGAAATAGAGACTGGGCCGACCCCCAAACTCCACTTTTTCCGACAATACCGACATAATACCTACTTTGTAGTAAAAATAAAATCTTAATTTTATGATGGTATGCACACACACCTAATATAGAAGAGAAATATCAATAAGAGAATAATATACTGTACCAGGTAAAAGAAAAATCAAGGTTTAACACTTACGTCAGGTTAGGTTAGGTTAGAAAAAATCAAGGTTAGGTTAGGTTTAACACTTACATTAGTGGAAAAGATGGGTCGGTGTACGGGAATGGGGGCTGGTTCCGAGGCAAAGGGCAGATTACTGGCACTCAGGTCAATCACCATCACTATCCACCATAGTTGTCAGGGCCTCCCTGACAAATCCCTCAAAGTCCATAGCATCACTGTCACTTTCACTGGCTTGGGCTGGCTGTGGTGGGTTGTGGGCGAAGAAGTCCATGATGTTACGCTGATGGCTAGTGTTGATGTTGTCGTGATACACCTTGATGTACGGCTCCATAGTGTGCAACAGCTGGTTATGGAAGACTTCAAAGTGGTTATCGTCAGGGTTGTTGGAAAGGATGAGCTTCAGTTTCTCTGCACACTTGATGGCATCCTTAACATTACCATGCGTTAACTTGACCTCGGAGTGACGCACTCACACAGGATGGAGGAGAAACATCTCATGTAAACCTACAATTGGTGACCCCTGGAGCCGTGAACACCACACTCCTTTCTGCTGCCTTACTCCTGGAGCTGAGAAGATCATCCTGCCTGCTGCCAGCCTAGGCCAACTGCCTTACCTGCACCACGTGCTACCCCACTACTCCACGACGACACCATCTCACGACCGTGTGAAACACTTCCGCAAGAATGGACGGAAGGATCTCTCTACCGACTTTCAACCACAACGTCGAGGACTGGTTAGGTCATGTGGAAGCAATCCTCATCGGCTCACAAGCTACTGACGAGCAAAAGTATGGCGCCCTGCTCTGTTCCTTGCCCATGAAAGTCGCCACGCAAGTATCACGGACTATTTCCATCTCTCCAGAGAACAACAAATTCGCCACCCTGTGGGACGCCTTAAAAACACATTACCGACGGACCCTCCCCAGCCTCCTGCAGAACCTATCTTCTATCTCCCTTGGAAACTCAACTCTGGGAATTCTATGGGAGGAGGTGTGTAGGCTGAACTCACGGCACACAGACAGACTTCCCGACCCTATCCTGCGCCAGCTTCACGCACAAAAGCTCCCCACACAAGTATGTATCATCCTGTCCGCATTAGATTACTCGACGACACCTGAACTCTCCGCAACCACAGCAGACAGAATATTCAATGAGTGCGCGGCTGCGTGTCTGGCTGCCGCGGACAACCCAACGACCACACCAGTACTTATCTCCGAACTTGTAAACCGGGTCAACACCCTTCAGCCGAACAATACCTCACAAGACATCAGGAACCTGTTGCAAACTTTGAACCGCAGGATGGACACCATCGAACAGTTCTGCTCCTCCACGCCTGCTGCTGGACCTGTTCCTAATCACGCACCACGTCCTACCGACCCCAACACACCCGTCCTGCCTCAGACGCCGCCCCAAGCCCCCAGCACAGTGTACCTACCCCCTTTTGGTACCATCAACGTTTTGGTGCTAATGCTAGATGTTGTGAGGCCCCCTGCAACCACATGGCGAAGCGACATCGACGGAGACGGGTAGGCGCCATAACCTCCACCACTATCAAGCAGCACATCACATGCCTTAGTTCTGACCTTGACCACTTCACTCCTGCTGCCTGTCACGACCAACTACAAACACTACGTCAGGCAGTTTCTGCATTCAAGGCTACTGCCCCACGACAGCCTTCCCACCGCCCTGAACACATTCATCCCGCACCTCCTTCGCCAGTCTGCCCACAATTACCCCTTGCAGCACCACCTCGCCCACAACATTTCTGGGCACCCTCTTTTCTTCCTCAGGTACCCACTGTGCATGTCTTGCACCCTCCTGCTGTCATGGACCCTCCTCCCGACGTGGCCCCTGCTCCTGACGCGGACCCAGACACCCCACCCGGCTCCACTGAGGACTGCGTACTCGCTGCGAGAGAAGCACCACATTCCTCGCCTGTAAAACCTTCTCTTATCCACAAACCTACTCCTCCCTCTACTTCTCCCACAGATCTCGTGTCTCTAGACAGAGTCGTCTCCCGTAGCAGCTGGCTCATCCACACCCCCGCCCATTATGTCTCACATGTGGGATACAACCCTGCCGACAACGAGTCTCCTACACCGCCCGGAGGGGAGGGGGAGTATTGTAGTGGATTCCTCCCCTACAAACGCCGTGTGTCGCTGACTAGCCAACCCCCCCCCCGCGAATCTCTCAGCGTATCCCTCGTGGTCAAGGTCAGGTAACCAGCGCCCTCGAACAAAGCGGAGGTCTACAATCAAGCCACGCCTACCCCCGCTATATAAGACCACACCTGGCCGTGACCTGCCCCTTCTTCTAGCTACAGCTGCAGCAAGCAACACCTCTGAGCACCCTCACCAACCAGCTCTCCCTACTCATGCTTGTAACCACGCTGCCTCCTCCCAGCACCAGCCACCAAGCTACATTGTACATCCAATATAATATGTATACAGAGAGCACATTGTGATTTTCCTTTCTCCATCCCATCCTGAGTGTGAACCAACATCTCGTACCCCACAGTGTAACACATGCGGGTAGGATTGGGGGAAGGGGTCGTCCTTGTACAGGGTATAGCATACTAGATACTTTAATATAACATGAAATCCATTAAGCTATATTATTGTATGTCTTGTGCTTTGTAGATGCAATGTATATATCCCACTTGGCATAGGTGTTCCTTGGGGCAAGAGGAAAAAATTTACTCAAACACTTTGTCTCTATGCTTAGAACCCACTAATTGGCATAAATTATGATAATTAGCACCCAAAAGGTGGCAATTTCTAACTTAAACCGTTTTGCCTAGAAACATGTGTGATTAGTTGGACCTGGCTAATTTTAAGGTCAGGAATCCATTTTTGGGGTTATACAATTGACTGCCATTTTGACCCTCAAATCCAAGATGAGCACTGGCCGCCATCTTGAATGTAGGCATACTTTACAACTTTTGAACCGTTAAAGCTACAAACTTGTGTGATATATCAATTTCTACTAATTTGAGGTTGAGAAAATCATTTCTGGCACTGCATGTATGATAAGAGGTCATTTAAAGGTGAATTCCAGGATAGTTGCCATTAACTATATTAGAAAAACTTAATGCCTAAAACATATGCTGATGGTATATAAACTCATGTAATGTGCATTTTCTGAGGTCAGAGTCGAGACAAAAAACACCACATTATCAAGAATTATTGGTAACTTTCATTTGAGAGTGCACACAATGCAGATTTCAGAACAGACATAAGTACTTGCTGTTCTGACCTCAAGTTCACTGTGTGAACAGCCACCCTTACATCCAGTGGTGTACAGGGCTGCTCAGTCATGCAGCATGTACTATCGTGCACCAAAGTCGTGTCCACTACCCAGCCACAGTGAGGGTTCGAATTGCCTTGAGTCTGAAGTTTTGAAACAGCTGGGGGAAATGCTATGGTCGGCCAACATATGTCGCCCACTGTTGGGTGTGGGGGAATAGAGGAGGTGGGGGTTAGTCTAGTAACAGGCTGTGTGTAGGTGGAGCATAACATCGTGAATTCCGCAATCACTGATAACAATAAGAATGTCATGAAGATAGTTAATATTATTAAGCATGGTGAGAGATGTGTAACGGTAAATAAAAGCACTACAACGACCATATCTCTGCCGTTCATGGCTACGACGGTGCGACTGATGGGCACACCAGTAATTAATCTCCGTGACTACCAGTAATGGTAGTCACGGAGAATACACAAGTTGTTACCAAGGTTGGCGCCACCCACACCAGGGGAAGGAGGTGATGTCGAACACTGAAACATGCCGAGGTCTCATTCCTACCATCGTCGTCACCAACAGGTAAGTCACATTAATTTGTCAGCATAGCCCATGTCGTCCTTATACTATTGCAGGGTGTCCCATGAGTGACAGCAGATATTTGTAGAGGTGAAAGAATATGTGATATTGAGTTGAAAATCTTCTATACACATAAGCATTTTTCGGTTTACTTTAGGCGTGAGGTGGGTTGTAAAAATTACGCAGGGCAAAAATTTTGCCATGTTATATTTTATTTTACTTACCAATTGCAGCCATACTGTGTGCTGTTGTAATCCTTATTGGTGGATTACATAGGCCTATTAATAGCGTGAAAACCCGTTTGAAGATACTGTAATGTTCCATAACTTGCATTAAACAACATCATACGTTCACGAGTTCCAACTCCGCGCCTAGCCTCCCCCCCCCTGCCTCTACCCACCCAACTATTAAACCTCATAATTTGAGCATCGTGGGTTACCACACCTAAACACTAATCGACTACTTATTCTTTCCCCACACTCCCCCTCCACCATCCCCCCACTCCACTCCTCCCTCCCCCACCTCTTCCCTTCATCCCTCCCCCAAGACTAACGTCAATCGAACATTCCATCCCATCACATTACCTTCCCCTGCATTCCCCAACCCCCCTCCCCCTATTCTACCCATGGCGAT